AGAACTGGGTTTCCCCACCAGGACTGCGGCTAGATACTATAGGCATTATACTATTAATAAGGCCTAGGGTGGACAAAATAGGCTTTTAGGATCTCAGCTACTGTTTGTTTACAGCACCATTTCTGAGAAAGAGAATTCCAAGAAGTTGGAGAATGCATATTGTATCATGCAACCCACGTGTGAACTACAACCCACTTACACCCTTCTCTTGGCATAGGCAGTAGACTTTCCAAGGGCAAAACCTTGCTAGTGTGCTAATTATATGGCAGAAAAGCCTGACACACCTATCTCACCAGGTGGTAAAATCTGGCATTGATTATCATGAATTCTGACAGCATAGTCTTGACAAGAATGGCATTTGTCTCTAGGGCTTTTTACTGAAAGCTTATTATCACCAGTGTAATCCTTAAGAGAAAATCCTTCCTGGGCATAGTGGTGCATGCCTGGGAGGTTGGACTGGAGTGATCAGCAGTTCTAGCACAGCCTGGGCAATGTAGTAAACTCTGTTTAAACACACAGTAAGAAGAAGGAATGAGGGTGTAGTTCAGACCCTGGTTCCAGCCCCCAGCATCTCAAAACAGAGCAAAAAACAACCAAAAACCCAAAGCCCCAGTTCTCCTCAGTAATTTTCCATCCATTGACCCATACTCTATTTCACCTTCTTGGCTATTTCATCTTTTCTCTCAATTATGTTGAAATAAAGCTGGTAAGTAAAAAGCTGTGTAGTGAGAGGTCAATCACCTCATCTAGCTGTCCTTTTTATCTGGTGTCTGTGATAAGAATGTTGAAAGCCACTCTCTTATCAAACTTCTGGTGTCCATATAGGATCATACAGTGCATTAGATCTCCAGGGGATGCTAGGGGAGACCTTCCAAATGCGTTTCTATATTCCTGTGGGAAGACTGCTCCCAGGCCACAAGGAGCAATTGTTTGTTGGTGTCCAATTACACAAACTCAGTTAACATGCCAGGCATGGTAGCTTTGGAAAATCAGAATTACAGGAGCTACTCCATACACTTCTTCTGAGTTCGTTCAAACTCTGACTACAGCTACCTTGGCAGAGGCTTTACATGTCAGGAAAAATGAAACCTAGATTGTCCATATGTTTACAATAGAAAATAACTTCTGTCTTGAGACTCATGGACTCTTCTTCTTGTGTAACAATGGTGTTTTCCAACAAACTTTCAAACAAACAGGAACTTGTACTCTCATTTATCTGGCCCTGGAGACCAATACAGCACTTAATAATCGATTCCTGCCAAACCCTTCCAGGATAAAAACCAAGTGAACTGTAGAACTCCTTCCTCTACTATGGGCCTGGGCATAGCAACACAGGCACTGAAGACTAACCACATCCCTCTCCTGTTACCAAAAGTTGCCTAAGGACCTGACAAATAGCCTAAATAGAATTACCCAGGGCATTGTCATCCTCCAGAATCATGAGCAGCACTGGCTCTGCAAAACCACAGGGGACTAGGTCTCTTGACTGCTGAAAAGGAGCTTATGGCTGTTCCTAAAAGAATACTGTTTTTATGTCACTCAGTCTACAGTAGTGAGAGATGCAGCTTGAGAGCTAGCTGTTGACATTCCTAAGATCAACCAAAAAGTAGCTAAGTCATGGAGATCCGTTTTGAAAGCTCTGGAATTGGGCATCTTGGTTATTTTTCTTTGTTAATGCTTCTCATAGCCTCATTATTTATAGTTGAATATTTAATCTCTTAGTCACACCTATGGTTTCTTGTTTAACAGCTATTAAACTACAGATGATGACTCAGGTCAAGGACCAAAACCTGCCTGCATATCCTGAGCTTATCCACACATCCTCAGGTGGAGTTCTATCCCCTCACCCCGCTAGATCAGACAGGGGGAGGCCATGTCTCTGCATGGATGGGTTCAACACCCCTAGTCAGCAGGAAGCAGCTACAGAAGACAGATATTTCACCCTCAGCATCCTTTGAAGATTTTTGGGGACCAGTTTCTGAGAGGGAGTTCTCTCAGTTCTACACATAGTAGAACTGAGGGCTATGGGCTGCTTCCCTCCACTGGATATGAAGCAGCTCCCTTCTACTTGCTGCAAGACTTCTTCCCTCCATTTTGCCAAGCCTGGTGATGCCCCAGGGCTAACCACTGACCCTTGTGTAGGGCTTGCTACACTGTGGGGGAAATAAGGCAGACTCCCAGCCCTTGCCTGAAACAGGCAGACAAGGGAGAGAGGGCAGAGGAGAGAGACACAACTAATAGAGGGACACCAAGGAGCTATGAGGCAGGAGGCACATGAGACAGACAGGGGAAGGAAAAATACCGGGTAGACCAGGATGAGGAGTGGACTCCACATATCTAGACCTGAGTGACTTTGTCCAGCCTTACTGTGCTAAGAATTGTTGCCTTCTGGAGAGCAGCTGCTCCTGATGGGGGATGCATGTGTGAACAAGAAGGAAGGAGACAGGAGAGTGAGGACAGGTGGAAGTCGAAGGAGGCTCAGCAGGGCAGACAGTAGAGCCTGCCTCCGTCTCTGTCCCTGAAAATTAGACAGGTGATACACCCAGTTCCTGCCTTCCAGCCACATGTCCTTGTTCTCTTTGCCTCTGGCCCTTTCCAAGCCTTGTGCAGAGCCAGGAGGTGACCATTTCTTTCCACAGTTGGTGGAGATGCACCCCTCGGCCTCTAAGGAGAAAGGAGGTGTGGACACATCCTGGAGTCGAGGTTCACTGGGACAGAAGAACATCTGTACCTCCTGCCTGCCAAACTATCACTCCTGAGCACAGGTCAGTGTGGAGACCTGCCCCCATCAGTGACTTCCCGTTACTCAGGAGACACAGGTCATGCACAAATTGCTGAGGCCTAAGGACACTACTCTTTTCTGCAGACTCCCTGGGCCTCCTCTCCCTCCCCAGAGAAGAAGCTTCAGTCTTGATCTCCCTCCAGCCACCAAATCTAAGATGTGAGCTCTTATCAGATGAGCTCAGATGCCAGGTTCCAGGATTCACAAGTTCCTGGCCACAGTCTTCCCTCTGCAAGGAAGCTGCTCCTTCCACTGCTATGGAAGCCTGTGGCTGGCAGTTTTCTTAGGAACCTTTTCGTTTTTCTTCCGGAAAGAGGTCAGAAGTGGGGCTGGACTGAGCCTTGGCTCTAATAGGGCCTTCCTGAGTGGGTGGTTTGGTCAGAGGGCAAGACCTGGGCTCCATGGTAGGAATCCCATGGGAAAAAGTTAACTGACAACACCAGCTAGATGCCTCTTCACTCTTGAAAATGTCATATTTTCTGACAATTACCAGTGAGACTTTTTGGGACGTCCTTTCAGAGGTACACTTTTTAGACTAAGTCCAAGGTATAGGAGGTCCTCCAGGTGTCTGTGCATTGAGCAGGGCTGATAAGAGTCCTTTGGTGTACAGAACCTTGGTCAAATTGCCCTACCCTGGGGACCACGGAGCTTCGATATAGACTGGACTAACCTCTCCAAATTTTTGCTTCAGGTTATTTTTTAAATGGTTTATAAATACATTCAGATAACATAAAGTCACCTATTTAAACATTAGAATTAGAATTTAAATATTAGGATTTTTTATATGACTCGCAAATATCATCACAATACAGTCATAAAATTCTCAAGCAACCCCCACCACATGTGGAATACTTTTATCCTCCAAAAGAAATTCTGTTCAATTTGGCGATCACCTCCTGTACCCCATCTGTGTTGCAACTTGAAGCAATTGATCATTTACTTCCTGTCTTATTTTCCAAATTTGCCTTCGCTTAATCTAACTTTTTTCCATTCAATTTGACATGAAGCAGTGTAGTGCTTATAAATCCAATTTTATCATGGATTATTAAAATTATGCAGTTTGATCAATTTAACATTTACTATTTTTATTGCTTCATCTATAACATTCTTAACTGTAATTGGATTGTTTTAAAAAGTTGCCCACAGCCTCCTCAATAACTAGGAATACACAGGTGTGTACCACCACACCTGGCTGAAACTGGTGTGTGTGATACAAGAATATGAGAGCAACAAATACAACACTATCAGAACAGTTTTTTGCCCCTGCCTTGAGTATTTTAAGACCCCAACAGCTCTTCAGGGAAGAGGTCAACATAACTGTTGGAGGTTGGGGTGGGCTGCACTGTGAGGTGTTAGGGGTCCTGCTGGCCACACAAGGACTCTGGTGTCGGACTTATCTGAGGAGGGACAGTCTCAGAAACTACTCTGGGCTTGTGGCTGGACCACTGAGCCTTGTGTCAGCTAAAAGATGAGGTGACACTGATTTTCAGACTGAAGGCAAATGGAAACTGAGTAGGAGTGGCCTTGGCCTCAGATAGCAGGGAGCAGACCGATGGGGCCTGGGTCTGTGAAAATGGGCAGTGCATAAACCACAAGGGATTTGGGGAAGGTGGGGTCCACGTGGACAGGTGAAGAGGCTGCTGGCTGTCAACCCCGGAGCAGAGCTCTGACTGCTGTTGGGTTAAGCTTCAGCTTCCAGCCTGGCATCAGTGCCCATCTGTGCTTCCAATCCATGCTCAACCCTGGCATGTGAGAGGCCTCTGAGCTTCAGGAGCCCAGTGTTGCCTGCCCACTTCTGGAAGGCGCTTTTTGCCCCTGCACTTGGATGCAGGAGGACAGCCTGGTCTCCCTGGAGGGCTGGAGTTTCTACATGGTAGGAGCAGACTGCACAGGCAGAGGGACCCTGCATTTTACCTGGTTGGCACACAGCTCCTCCACATCCCTTAACTGTGCCTGTCACACCCCTGCCTTTCCCAGGGGACCAGGGATGACAGTCTCCCTGTGAAATACTACTGGTTCATCTTGGGGCAGGACCCGAGAGCTGATCCCAAGAGAAGGGGATTCTGAGGGGCAGGAAGTGCCCAGGGAAAGGGGGACTGCAGCCAGGGGGCAAGGATGGTGAGGTTTTCTTTGGTTCCTTTGGCCAGGCTTTGTCTGGGACCGGCAGCTGACGGACACAGAAGCCGAGTACAGGAACATTTATTGACAACAGGCTGGAGAGAGAGACTCAGCACAGCTTGAGGCCTGAACAGAGGGGATGCAGATGGGTGGTGTTCTCACCCCCAGGCCTGCTATGGGGCCGGAAGCATAAATGACAGCAGGAGGCAGGTCTGTGCTGGCCCGAGGACACTGCAGCTCTTGCTGGAGCCTGTGGCTCTCAGAAGCTGGGGCACAAAGTCTGTGGGAGGAGGAGCTGGCAGTGGGCTGGGGACAGCAGTGAGCCTCTTGACTGTGCTGATCCAGTCAATGAAGTGCGTGACCTTGGTGAAGATGCTGGGGTTAGTGGGGTGCCGGCAGGTCAGACCCCAGCTGGCCAGTCCTATCAGGACCCAGGCACCATGGTGGTAGCAGACAAGGGGCCCCCCAGAGTCACCCTGAGGAGAAAGAGAGAGAGAGAGAAAAGAGTTAGTGCGAGATGAGTTGAGTTCAGACACACAAGAGGCAAGGTCTGCCTGGTCCTATGCTGCCAATACCTGAGTTAGGGCCCCGCTGCAGTCCCGCTGGGTTAGACTGTGTGGGGGAATGCTGGACGGGAGCCACAAGATACTCCTGAGCTGCCTAGTCATGCAGGTGGATGATCATGCATCTGAATCTACCAATGTGGATCTCTGCCTCTGCTATCCATGCACAGTGGTGGCCTAGTACCACGTGCTGCTTGAGGCCAAGATGGGACAGCTGCCTGCAGAGAGGGGCTGGTGAGAAGGTCAGGCAAGCTGAGACCTCAGTGAAGACCCTGTCTCTGTTAACGCTGAGTTGTAGCAGTACGTTGCTCCAGGTCTCTGTCTGCTTGTTTGCTTAGGTCTGTAGTTTGCTTGCTACCTCCTGGTTGAGCACTATTAGGAAACATGTGACCAGGCTTGGTGCAGGCAGGTCATCTTACGGCTGCAATCTGAAATGTTCCCCAAAGGCTCACTGTGTTGGAGGCTGGGTGTCAGCTGATAGCTTTGGGAAGTGACTGGATGGTGCGAATTCATGGTGGAATGGGTCAAAGGGAGTGGATTATGGTGGTAGGACCTTGGGGACTGTATCATGTCCCAGGCTCTTTCTTTTCTGCCTCTTTCTGATTCTTGACTGCCTCAAGGTAAGCAGCTTTCTTCTGCCATGTCTTTCTGCTACAATGTCTCTACCATGACACAGTCCTAAAAGCAATGGAGTGGGGTCCATGCACTGAAACCTCTGAAACCATGAGCCAAATACAGTGGTCCCTCAATTCATGAATGCATTTGTTTGCAAACAATTTGGTTCACCATCAGAAGCATCTGGCAAAATTTAGTTTGTGAACTCTGCCACTGGTGATGAACATGATCATGGCCATCTTTCCTGCATGAACACAAATGAGGCCATCTATCCCAGAATAATGGAATGAATGGTGTTTGAGAATTGAGGCAACACTGTATGTCTTTTCTCATTTTAGTTGTTCTTCCCAGGTATTTTGTCACAGAAGCACCAAGCTGACTAACACAGCTGATATCCCTAGGGAAGTGGGCAGGCATTTCTGGAAAGTGGCTGGGAGTTATCGGAGACCTGAAATGCCATGGGCTAGGTACATCCCATGGGACAGCCAGGCCATGGTGACCTCTACAGCCAAAGCTTAGCCCACAGAGGCTGGCTTAGGTGTGGGACCTGTAAGAGAGCTTGTGGAAGCAGGGATGGTATTAGACTTAGTACTCCAATCGTGGTTGTGCTGCTCCACTTTACACTGGCCACTTCCCCTCGTGGGCCTCGGTTTCTCCAACTATAAAACAGGATTCAATCTACATGTTCAAGAATAAATTGACATCAAGAATATACAAATAATTCCCATAAGAAATAGATAACCCCTACTCAGGAGGCTGAGGCAGGAAGATCACAAATTCCGGGCCAGCCTGGGCAAATCACAGAGACTCTGTCTCAAAAAAAAAATTAAAAAATTAAAAAAGAACAGACAAGTAATGTCAGTATGGGAAATTTCACTCGACTATAAAATTTCACAGGAATGATACAAATTAAAATCACAAACCAATACCACTCACCAAAATTGTCACAGTGTGAAAAGATGGCAGGCGCCAAGTTTGGGTGAGGACATAAATTCTCATCCACTCCTGGAGGACTGTTTACTAACCTCTGCCTAGGCTGAACACATCTATTTCTTTTTTGTTTTGTTTTTTGGGGACTGGGAATTGAACTTACGACCTCACGCTTGCCAGACAGGCACTGTGCTGCTGCACTAAACCCCTGCTCCATATATAATTCTTTCACCCAGCAATTCTATTCATGGACTTCTCCGAAATAGAGTAGGAAAGATGTGCTGTTCACCTGTGCCCCAAAGACACACAAGAAAACACATGGAGGGGCTGGGGATTTAGCTCAGCGGCATAAGCGCCTGCCTTGCAAGCAGGCAGTCGTGACTTCGATCCCTGGTACCGATAAAAAAAAAAAGAAAAAGACCAAAAAAAAAAAAAGAAAAAGAAAACACGTGGAGCACATGTGCCACTCATCAGGCCTCCACTCTGTGAATGACTCAACATGTGTCCCACACAGAGTGGGTAAGAGCATGCAGTTTGATGCTGAATCTGAGAGGAGTACAACGAGAAGTCAATTTGTCCTTCTCTTAAGTTGTGCAAGCCGTGTGGGGCTCGGAAAGAGGAGCCAACTTGGCAGGCCAGGGCCGGGTGTCTGAGCCTCTATTAAAAGGATAACAGCATGCAATATAGCAAATATGGAGATTTCCTTCTGTCTTGTTTTTGAAATCCAGTATTGTTCTTGCTGCTTGGTTTTGTTCCAATTTATTGTTTGTTTTATTCAATGTTCTGTTTTGATTGGTTTTATTGTTTTGTTTTATTTGATTTTACTATGTCTGATGCTATAGGCAACCACTGTGAAGATAACAAGAGATGCTATGGTAGCCATTGTAGATTTCCTTTTAGCCTGTTTTGAAGTTCTGTACCACTTTCATAATTGTTTCATTTTGATGGGCTTTACTCTGTTAGGTTTTATTACTTTAAAATAAAAATTTAAAAAAAGAGCGCCCAGTTCGCACAGAAGTATACTTCAGGGGAATGGCAAACTACATGCTATACACTAGATGTGTTTCATTAACAAAACATTCAGATATGCAGGAATGCCAACTGCAAATTGTGGTTCTAGGAACCACAGGATTCAATCTAAGATAGAGGTGAAGCAGGGAGTTTCTCTTGGGTGTCAGTGACAAGAAGGGGACTCAAGGGGTCTTCTGGCCTGTTGTATCAGTGTGGAAAAGTCCAGCAGACTGTAACTTATAAATTACCTTATAATTACAGATTACACATCACCAAAAAGTGTAAAATATGCGGTGCAAATGGAAACAGGGTGAGGGTCCTTCCAGTGGATGTTCCTGTACACAGCTGGCTGGGGAAGGGGATTCCTGGGGGAGACGGCTGGGGGACAAAGCCCAGGAAAAACATCTAATGAGAAGGAAATAAGAAGCTCAGAGGTCTCCATGAAGAAAGCAAAGGCCAGTACTACCCCCTCCCAAAGAAACGGAACCAAGAGGGCAGGTAGCAGAGCTGGCCTTACACTGCAGATGGATGTTCCTGTAGAGAAATTCCCGACACACAGCATCTCCTCCTGCACCAAGCGGTCCTTGCCAGTTTTGTGCTTGTATAAGAGACTGCAGAGCTTGTTCCCAATGAGGCCTACTTCAGCCTCCTGGAGAGAGAAGGGTGGTAACAGCTGCACTGTGAAAACAGGATGGAGTTCAGGGACTTGCACTGTAGGTCACTCAGGGAAGTCCAGCTTTGTCTAGTTTCTCACTCTGCCTGATGCCCAAAATGCTCTCCTCCCCCAAACTTGGGGCTTTCCTAGAACAGCTGAGCATGAAACATTGCTTCAGTCACCTACCTGCCCCTGGTAGGTCCCTACCCTTTGTACAAACCTTTCCACATTCATTCCATTCCTTCCATCTCTCTCAAGGCAACAGACCACACCTCTCTCAAGGCTGCAAAGAGGTGAATTCCACTAACATATAACCTACTCACTGGGGTTCAGCAACCATTCACTAACTCACATAACTCACATAACTATTTTCTACCCAGCCATCACTAACTTTTCACCGACCTTTCCATTTACCTACCCACCTGCAACTCTACTCCTTTACCCACTTCTTGATCCACCCACCAATCTTGCGATCCACAGCGTTCATCTATCCACCCTTCCTCAGTCTCTCCATCCCTCTCTGTTTCCCTTCATATACTAACACATCTACCCACACCACCCATTCATCTGCCCCCACACCTAGCCATCCACCTATCCCCTGGGAGACCCAAAGCAACAGGGCCAACATTTGAAATTCTGCTACATGAAGAAACTCACTCTCTCTCTCTCATCACTATTGAGGATAGAACCCAGAGCCTTGGCACTGAGCTACATCCTCAGCATTTTTATTATGTTTTTACATTTTGAGATACAGTCTTACAAGCCAGACATGCTTGGCTCAAATTTGTGATACTCTTGTCTTGCCTCCATAGCGGCTGGGATTACAGGCACGTGCCACCACACTCTGCAAATCGTTTCTCTTTTTAAGTTCATTATGTCAGGTATTTTGCTGCAGTAAGGGAAAGCTGACTATGTTACTTGGAGGAGGCAAGCTCCCTAGATGACTTTTGAGTTTAACTGAGTCATCTCAGGACCATGGTTGACTAAAACTTTAGAATCAAGAAGATGCTAAAGACCCAGATTTTTGATTTCAGAACCTAGGCAGAGAGGAGTCTGCAGCTGTGGAATGACATACTTTCAGAAGAAGGAGGGTCCTGACCTTGCTCAGTCCTCATCTTACAGGCCATGGAGATGAAGCTCAGGAGGCCAGTGCCCAGCAGCTTCAGAAAGCATCTTGGCCTCCAGTTTAACTGAGCCCCCACTTCCCCAACTTTCCCCAGGGCCTCCTCTCTTCCCCTCCTTGATCGGTCCCCTCCTCCTCTTCCTGCCTCTCCCATACCAACCTTGCTGTCCTCTGTGAGCATGCCCCAGCCAGTTATCCAGCAGGATGCGTGAGGGGGCAGCTGCATGTCTGGGAGCGGGAGGCAGGCAGGGATGACATAGTGTGAGAAGTTCACAGGCAGGTGCAGTTGCAACATAGCAATGTCACTCCCAAAGGGATGAAACTTCTCAAAGTCTGGGTGGGTGATGATCCGGCTCAAGGGTATCTTCTGGGTGTGCTGGGTTTGCTTGTACAGTTGGGTGTTCCCCAGTAGAACCTCATAGTCCTCTAGGGCCTGGGATTTGCTGGAGGAAGAAGGGCCCATTATTACCTTTTTCACTGCGTATGCTCCCTGCACTCTCACCTTACGGGCCCAGCCTGCAGGACCTCTCCACCCCGCTGCAATTCCAGACCACCTTCATTCTTTCCCCACTTCTAACAGCCACGAGCCTTCTTTCTCCAGGGTGATGGATATCCTCCTCACACTCCCATCATGCCTTAGAATTGTACCAGGTCATCCTAGTGCCAGAGAAATTCTTGATGGGGATTCTTTCTTTTTTGGTACCAGGAATGGAACTCATAACCTTGTGCTTGCCAGGCGAGTGCTTATGCTGCGGAGCTAAATCCTCGGTCCCCTTGATGGGGATTCTTAAATCAAGTCCGTTTAGTTTACCAACAAAGAGCTCTAGCTCAATTCCATTGTTCTGGTTAGGATCTTAAACGTTTCCCCAAAGCCTACGTGCTAAAGGCTTGGTCATCACTGTTGGTTAGTAGTGGAGTCTTTAAGAGGTGGAGTCAGTGGGAGGCTCTGCAATGTCTCCTTGAAAGGGATATTGTGACTCTGGCCCCTTCTGTCCCCTGGTTGTCATAAGCGAAGAGGCTTCTCTGTCATGCGCATACACCATAATGACTGTGCACCCCCAAACAACAGGACCAGGTAATCATGGACTGAAACTTTAGAAGCCACGACCTAAAATAAACTCTCTTCCTTGTAAGTTGATTTTCTCATGCATTTTGTCACAGCAACAACAACAAAAAAGGGAGTGATAAACTAGTCTGTCTCTTCTGAAGGCTCCCGTGACCCACCTCCAGGCCTAACCACCTTTCCTCCCTCTCTTTTAGGGTTTCTAAGCCACTTGGTCATAAACTCTCCTAAGTGATTTATTAAATGCACACATGAGTACATAAAACTAAAGCTTTCCCCGCTCCTGAATAGGACTGCAGAAACATCTCACAGCCCTCACCTGCTTTATAGGCCCAGCTCTTCCCTTCTGGAAGCCTCACTCCACAACTCTCACACTAGGTTGCAGATTCCCTCTGGTCTCCCTTCCTCGCCCATGTGGGCTTCCTCATGAGCATCACGCTAACTGGAGCTTGTGCTCTGCCTTCCTGGAGGGATGGAGACACTTTGGTATGGGGTATAGCCACCTGCTGTGCTACACAGAGCCTCAGGGGAGTGTGGCACAAAAGAAATGCCAACAAGACCCAGTTGGGGTCTAGGGCTGGTAAGCATACAAGCTGCAACTTCCAGACTTGAACTATGAAGTTCCTGGTCCTTCTGGGTTCTTCCACATCTATTCAGAAACCGGGCACTGAGTCAGAGGAGTCAGTGTCAGTCGTATCAGTCAGGGAGCCTGTGCAACCTAGCACACCAGATGGTGGGAATCACAGTTCCTCCTGGGCACATGGTTTTTATAGAAGGGGTCAAAGAAGTTGCCAGGCTGTTGGTCATACACGGATTCACAGGAGTGTGGAGGACAGTGTGAGGCCAGGTCAGCGGGTGGCAATGTCCTCAGGCACAGGAGGCAGGAGACTTGCTACTGCAGTTGAGGAGGAAGGATGATGGGGATCTGAGCAGGTGTGCTGGGCAGTACTGGGTGGCAAGTGGGGAGGCCAGGCCAGGCCCAGGGCATCAAACAAGGGACAATGTGCTGTCTGTAGCAGGTACTGTCCAGAGCAAGCCCCAGAGGACAAGGAATGGGCCCCTGCCACCTTTGGCTCCTCTTCCCTTGCCAGCCTCTCTCTGGGGACCCCAAGGAAGGAGAACTCACTTGTGAAAGCAGTGGGCAGTGGACACCAGCCAGTAGGAGTCGATGAGGACAGCTCCACAGAGGTGCAAGCCACGGTACAGCAGGCTTGCCTGCCACGGCCACCGGCCAGCCTCTGTGTCCTGGCCGCCGTATATTTTCCCAACTGCCTTTGGCTTCCCGCACACTGTGGAGACACCTCCCACCCTGTTAGGGACACAAGGGCCCCCAGCATGCCACCCCAAGAGGGCCCTTCCTCCATTTCCCAGGTGGGAAGATCAGGGACAAAGGGCAAGGGACCTGGTTCAAATGGCAGGGTTGTCTCAGGCTCTGGTTTGAAAAGCTACTGGAGGGACTAATGGCTAAGTTGCTTTTTGGAAATGCGAACCTGAAGTCTTGGGAGGAAAGGAAGGGTGAAAGGCTGGTCACCTCAGCACATCCTTGGTTTTTTTTTTTTTTTTTTTTTTTGTACCAAAAAATCAAACTCATGACCTTGCACTTGCTAGGCAGGTGCTTATGACACTGAACTGTATCCTTGGCCCCAGCACATCCTTTACTGGGCCTGCCAGGAAGCCCTGTAGATAGGGCGGCAGGGCTTGCAACCTCCTCCCCTCCACTAAACATTCAGTACCTACTCTGCAGATGAAAGCACTGCAGATCTCTCAGGTCTCTCATGGTCCATGCTCAAAGTTACACCTGCACCACTCTGGCATCAAGGGAGAGAATGGCAGGCAGCACTCTGGGTGTGGGAGACCTGGGGCAAGTTGTTCCTGCCACAGGATTCATGGTGCTCCACTGCTACATGGAGATGTGGGGGAGCTAAGGAAGTCACCTTTGGCTCTGAGACTCAGCCCTGGGGGGGAGCACAAGGTCCACCCCCTGGGAAGGTTTTGGAAGTCTTGATCCCTGGCCTGTGTTCACACCTCTATGTCCTGCAGCCCCTGGCGATAACCCTTCATCCGCCCCAGGGCGACGCCCTGGCCATCTGTTCAGGTCCAAAGTCCCACATCTACCTGGGCTATTTCCCACCCAGGACAGCTTCCCAGCGATCCTGACCCACCTTGTTGGAGGCTGTCTCTGGGATGTCCTGCTCAGAGGGGAAGGCAAACAGAACACATTCGGTTTACGTTTGCCAACGGACCTGGCCAGAGACCCCCTCCCTCCTTGTCCTTTCTTCAAACGGACCTTGGGCCCTGCCTGCCCTGTCCTGGGGTCCACTGGTCACCTCTTGCACCCTCGAGGTCGCTGCTTCTTCCCTTGGAGACTGCCAGGAGCTGGACCTCCGGGGTTGCAGGGCAGCCTCAGGGCTCAGGGTCAGCAGCATGGACAGCAGCAGTACCCAGGGCAGGGGCCCTGACCTGCCTCGGGTCCCTGCTCCTCGAGCTCCCATCGGGTGGTATGGATGGGGCTGGACTGACTCTACCCCAACTTGACCCTGCCCCGACCCCACGTAGATGCCCCTTGACCCTTACGCATGCGCACACATGCACGCACGCGCACAGTCGGAGACCAAAGCTGACGGAAGCCCTCAAAGGCTGATTCCCACCGGGTTGGTGGCTGTGTACAGGGCATTCACCCAGCATGCTGAACGCCATGGGTTTGAGTCCAACCATGGAAAAAGGAAGGGAACAAAACAAAACAACCTCCGCTGCTGACTCCAAACAGATGGCCCACGGTGTCTTGACCTCTCCGCTGACCCCTGCCTCAGGGGTATCAAGCGTGACAGACTGTCAATGGAAGCCGGTGCCAATACTCCTAAAATTAGCGAGGATGAGGAGTCTCAGTGTAGAAAAGCGGGAAGGAAGGACAAAGGTGTTTACACGGGAGGTTACCTCAGCAGCACAGCACCAGAAGGCATGCACAAAACAGAACAGGTATGTTGCTTCACAGAAGGAGGAATTAAAAGACCCCTATGCAGGAAAAATTAGTTATCTGGAAAATGAAAGTGTAAAGGTGTTGTTTTCAATCACCAAAGGGCAGACTGCTCCCCACCCTCAGCATTTCTCCACAGAGTGGTAGGAGGAGGAAATCTAAATTGCAAAGACATGCTTCTCTTTGTGCTTAGAGATATAATGTCCTGTCGTTTTCACATTTATTTCCCTGTGTCCTCACTAGACTAAACAGTCAACTTCAGGTTCCATGGAGTTTGATTTATTTATTAATAGCTAAAAAGTACGAAATGGGGAAAAACTGGTTCTGGGTACTTAAAATTGAGTCACTGTAAATCAGATCTCAGATGCCTTCGCTGCTGAATCTTTGACCTGAGCTGATCCCCATGTCCATTCATAGTTGACCTTCAGTTTGGGCCAAACCCATGGTTTCCATAAATGCTGTTAACTTTTATTGATCTGCTGTAAAAGAGATGCCTTTCCTCAAGCCAAGTAGAGACAAAGATTGTATCCAATTATCTCCCCTCCCTTTTTATAAGACAACTTTACTTCTGCTAGCTCCAGTCAGAATTCCTAAGAAGTGTTGTAATGTCCAACCCCACAGCTGGTTAAACCTATCATTATAGCCAGAACCCATTTGGGTGTAGCCAGCACCCTGCAGAGATCTTGTCTTTGGGCTTCATGCTAGCACTGGATGACACTGCTTGTTTCTCTTAGTCAGTGGGTAAGCACATTTTATCTGAAGTTGGGAAAGTGAGACAACTACAAGTAGTTGCCAGTAATTTAGCTCATCACTTGTCTCTGGCTCTCTGCTTCCTAGGCACACAGAATAAACTCTCCGTTCCTCAGCTTTTTTGAGGATTGGTTTGGCTATGCATGGTTTTGATTCAACCAAGTTTCATTCTCAGTTTGGTCCCCATGGAACATGCTGACTTTAATAACTGCGATTATTGAAAATTAGTGTCATAGTTAATTTTATGTGTTTACTTAGCCAGGCCACACATGTGATTTGTAGGAAAACACCATGGTAAATATTCCTCTAAGGTATTAGCTTGAATTGACAGTTGAATCAGTAAACTTTGATTGAAACTGATCCCTCAACCCATCACAGGTAAGCCTTATCTAAGCAGGTGAAGCCTTCAGAGAAAAGACTGGCATCCTTGAAGAGGGGTTTAGCTACCAGTCTGTCTTTGGCTCGAGCATCATCATCGACCTTCATCTGATTGGCATGACATGCAAGATTTGAGTTTTCTAGACCCCACACAATCAATTGAGCCAGGTCCTTACAAATATCTGTTTACCGACCTACTTGTCCATATATCTACACACACACACACACACACACACACACACACACACACTATTGGTTGTTTCTTGGGAGAGCCTGAGTTTTATCATTGTTAATTGAAAAAGAATGAAATGGAAATCTTTAAAGCTTGGTATAAATGTGGGACATTATATAGACAAATGTTAGACTAGAAACATTTGATTATTACCAGCATGCAATAATTGAAGAGGAGTCTAATAGTGTAAGTGAATTTTTATAGGTTTTTTTAAAAAGTCAAAATAATATTCAGAACATAGACTTAAAATTGAGTTGTCTTGATACAGACGTTGAAAATAGTTCAGTTTTAATCTGTGTTTTGATAGTAGACAAAATTCCTTTCATGTTTAACCCATGATTTAGAAACATGGATAACAAATGAAACACAGTGACAAATAAATACATGAAAAATTTTTTCATCTCAATGTAAGCACATTTTATAGTTCTCAGTAGGAATGTTTGAGTGGTAATTCTTGAGTCAATAGTTTCTTAATTTCTTGTTTAATCCTCTTATAGTCAAACCTACTATGACTGGAAAAAGTGATTCATGTAAAAAAAAACCTTTCTGAGTCAAGGATATAGTTCAGTGGCACAGCACCTGCTTGGCAAGTGCAAGGTCCTGAGTTTGATTCCCAGTACCCCCCCAACCCCCCAAAACAACCAAAACCCCCCAAACACCAAAAAAACCCCTCAAACAAACAAACAATAAAAAACCAAAAACAATCACCCCAACCCCCCTACTTATAAGATTAAGGAATGAACTACATTGTAGAACTTCCTTGTAATCATAGCTATACAGGAGGCTGAGGCAGGAGGATTTCAAATTTGAAGGCTGCCTGAGTGACTCTGAAAAACTGTGTCCTGAAATGGTGGATAGACAGACACCCTGGGTTCAGTTCCAAATCCTACAAACAGAAAACAAAACAAAACAATCAAAAGAAAGCACCAAGACATTATGGGATGAACTTCAAGCATTAAATGAGACTGAAAGAGATTATGAGTCTCTTCTGAGAGAAAGAGAGAAAGAAAGAGAAAGAAATGGCCTGTTGTACTAAAATGCTAAAAAACTAAAATGCAAAGTTAAAAAGATTGACTAGAGCACCAACCACACAGTTATAGATTAACTGATGCATCATCATATTATTCTGTATGCGTTGTCACCCTAGTAAACCTGTTTGCTATGTCAACCTTTGTTCCCTTTGTGAGAGACAAATGATGCTAGGTCAACCTTTTTTCCCTTTATGAGAAACAAATGTTCCTGGAATTAGCAGACCAAGGGCAATAAATTAAGGAAAGAAAGAGGTAACCATCAACTGTGAAACATCTCTGACCCCAAGCAAAGGGGAGCAAAGGCCTTCCTCATTCTTGCTTGCTTCATATCACTCCTTATTTTGTGGTTTAATTGCTATAAAATATGTCAAAATTCTAACCCCGTTGCACAGCTTTGCAAACTCTACCTGTGCTGTGCTGCTGGTGCCAGCTTAAATAAAAGCACTTTTTTTCTTTTCAAAATAAGACGTCTTTCCTTGAATAACATCTTGGGGCCTTGTTTTCTTGGGGTACAACAGAGAGGGAGCATTTTTTTGCTCTGCTAACAGAACTAAACATACACATCTCAAGAATAAAGCAGTGAAATGTAAATTGTAGAGAAATCAAAACTTCACCTCTCCCTTCTTAGGGTCCAAGCTAAGCCTGCAAATCAACTTGATATGAAATAGACTAATGGGAGAAAGATGTACAAGTTTGATGTAGACTATATGACCTGACAACTCTCATAAGGAAATGAGGACCCAAAGAAATAGCAAAACCCGATTCCTAGAGGAACTCAGCAGCTGAGAGGAACCTGAGCCACCCCTGCTCCCTCATCTGGATGATCTCAGCAGCCCAGAGGAATATCAGTGACCCCTTCTGCCACCTACAGTACCTTGGTGGGCTGATGGGAGCCTCAGACATCCCTCCTCCCACCCAGAGGACCTCAGCAGGCCAGCAACATGCAGTGAGTCCTCCACCAAGTAGAGGACCTCAGTGAGTCAACAGGAGCCTCAGTGAACCCTTCCCCAACTGGAGGATCTTGGCGAGTGGCAAGAGCATGAGTGAGTCCTTTTTCCACAGAAAGAACCCTGGGTGAGCTGGCAAGAGTGCTGGCAAGGTATTCCTACACCTGGAGAAACCTTACTAGGCCTGCAAGACCCCCAGTGATATAGAAGGGTCCTAGCTGGGGTGTACACTATAGACAGGTGGCTCTGGTGGCCTGGAACAGCCTGAAGCTGCACTAACAGTATGAGCTATGAGCTGGTTCACATAAATACTCCTAGGCTAGCCAGCCTAGGAAGAATTAGGACTCACACAACTAGCCTGCATAAGGAATTGAGGTGACTGGCCCCTTCCCTACACTGCAGGATCCAGCAACTGGGTGAATGTCAGCCACACAAGAGGACCCTAAGATACACACGACAGACAGTTGAGACTAGCAGGAATAAAAAGACCAAAATACTAACCCAAGAGGTGAAAATGACAAAACAAAAAAGGAAAATGCAATCTCAGACACCCAGCCCACCTGAAACAAGTACAGGAGACATCAGAATTGAGGTCATTGGAAGTAACACACCTGAAATTTCTGAAAAGAGAGCAAGTGAAATAAGTCAATGAAGCTGTAGAGGAAATCAGATTAGAAATAATCTCTAAAAGAAATGACAACCTTAATAAAGGAGTTGCTCAGCTTAGCTAGAGAAGACATGGATTAAAAAAAAGGTACAGGAGCATCGGAAAATGATGGAAACCTTGAATGATACAGGAAAGAAATACAATGCATGAAATGAATTCAAAGTGATACCCAGGAAATTAAAAATTCCATTAAAAGCTGGTGTAAATGTTTGAATGCAACTGAAGATAGACTGTCAGTCAGGCCTCGAAGACAGGAGGCAATTAGTGATCATGAAAGGAAAGAACTTTTAAAAATAATAAGGGAGGGGCTGGGAATTTAGCTCAGCATCACAAGTGCCAACCTGGCAAGTGTGAAGTCATTAGTTCGATCCACAGTACCAAATCAAAAAGGACCATGACATGACAATTCAACAGCTGCAAGATGATGCAAAGAAAAACAATATAAGGTTGATAGGTGTAAATGAAAATGCAAGAGGCAACACAACAGAGAATATTTGCAGAAGTAATAGCAGAAAATTTCCCAAGCATGGGAATAGACTGATATAGATAAGTGAGGC